TTTTTTTTTTTTTTTGAAGTGCTGGGCTCAAACCAGATCCTCATGCTTGCCAGGCAAGCCCTCTATCACTGACCTACTCTCTCAGCCCCCAAGTTGTTCTTAAAATCTCTGAGAGAGTCAGGCATAGTGGCATACACCTGTAATCCTAGAGTTTTAGGAGGCTGAGGCAGAAGGATCACAAGTTTGAGGCCAGCTTGGGCAACTTAGTGAGACCCTATCTCAAAATAAAATAAAAAGGGGTAGGAATGTATTTCAGTGGTAGAGTGTCCCTGAGTTCAATCCTCAGTGTTACCAAAAAAAGAAAAAAAAAGTTGGATAGATCAGATACTCTCTTGGCAGAGAAGCTCTGAGTAGATGACAGTCCTGTTTGAATCCACCAAACAGAGAAGTCAAAGAGCAAGTGAAACAACCATGCAGCAGTGTAGGCTGTTCGACAAATCCTGGGATAATATGGTGAAGTAGAAGGGTGCTTGAGCATTAACAGTTACACACAACAAATGCAATCCTCACCATCGCTGTACCCCAGAAATAAACATCAGAATGTGTAATATTCTGCACTTTCACCCCTTTTTTTGTAAAAAGTTTACCATTGTAGTTTTTCCCTCTTGAATATTAGCATTAGTTGGTATTCCTGGAACATTAATCTGCTGATAGAAAAATTTTAAATGTCAAGAATTACAAGTTATCTATAGAACATGTATCAAGAGCCTTGAAAATATCTTATCCTTTGTCTTTTTAATTATTTTTAGAGAAATCTATCCTAAGGAAAATCTGTAATCTTTGTAGAGATTTAAGCATAAATGTTTTTATTGTAACATTTTTATGGTAAAAATTATAGTCTGCTTTAATATATAGTCAAGGGACTTCTAAAGTAAATTATGACTTGTCAGAAATCTGTATGAGTGTATATTATGGATTGTTTTTCAGTCATTAAAATATATTTGAAGAGTTTCACGTGGAAAAATGCTTATGAAGTAATGTGAAAAAGACAAATATAAAACTGACTAAATAGGATATGGGGTGTAGCCCAGTGGTAGAGCACTTGCCTAGCATACATGAGGTCCTAGGTTCTATACCCAGCATTGCAAATACTTTTTTTTAATTAAGGATAGGGAAAATTGCCAGGCACGGTGGTGTACGCCTCTAATCCCAGCAGCTCAGGAGGCTAAGACAGGTGGATTTTGAGTTCAAAGTCAGCCTCAGCAAAAGTGAATTGCTAAGCAACTCAGTGAGACCCTTTCTCTAAATAAAATACAAAAATAGGGCTGGGGGTGCTGGAGTTGTGGATCAGCACTAGAGCACTCACCTCGCATGTGCAAAGCCCTGGGTTCTATCCTCAATATCACATAAAAATAAATAAAATAAAGGTATTGTGTCCAAATACAACTAAAAAATAAATATTTAAAAAAAATAGGGCTGGGGATGTGGCTCAGTGGTCAAGTGCCCCTGAGTTCAATCTCCAGTACCCCTCCCCCCCCAAAAAAAGAGAAAAGATTAAATATGTGACTTATCAATGTTAAAACACATACACGGGGGCTGAGGCTGTTGCTCAGTGGTAGAGCGCTTGCCTAGCATGTGTGAGGCACTGGGTTCAATATCCAGCACCACATTAAAAATCAATCAATCAATCAATCAATCAATAAAGGTGTTATTAAAAAAAAAGAAACATACACTGAGCTGTGGAGTTAAGTGGTAGAGTGCTTGCCTGGCATGCACAAGGGCTTGGATTCAATCCCCAGCACTGCAAAAACAAAAGCTAATAATAATAATAATAATAATAATAATAATACCCCCACATATTTACATACAAATAAGTAAAACTTAGTGGCAGAAAATATGTGGAAATACTGGGGAGTGAAATTGGCCAGGTACTGTGGCATATGCCTGTTATCTCACCAACTCAGGAGCCTGAGGCAGGAGAATTACCAGCTCAAGGCCAGCCTCAGCAAGTTAGCAAATCCCTGTCTCTAAATAAATAAAAAGGACCTATGATGTAGCTCAGTCATAAAGTACCCCTGGGTTCAATTCCCAGGACCAACCAAAAGAAAAGAAGAAAATATGCTAAAAATGTTGACATTGTCTGTTTATGAATTTAACCCAGGGGTACATTATCACTGAGCCACATCCCTCCCCCTTTTATTTAATTTTATTTATTTATTTATTTTTTGGTATTGGGGATTGAACTCAGGGGCACTCAGCCACTGAGCCATATCCCCAGCCCTACTTTGTATTTTATTTAGAGACTCACAGAGTTGCTTAGTGCCTCGCTTTTGCTGAGTCTGGCTTTGAACTCATGATCCTCCTGCCTCAGTCTCCTGATCCTCTTGGATTACTTATTATTTTTGAGACAGGATCTTACTAAGTTGCTTGGAGCCTTACTAAATTACTGAAGCTGGCTTCGAACTTGCAATCTTCCTGTGTAGTATTTTTTTAAAAAAAGGCAAGTCATTTTCTTTATAGTTTTCTATATTTTCCATGGAAAATATTAATTTTTTTTCCTTTGTGTTGCTGGGGATTAAACCCAGGGCTATGTGCATGCTAGGCAACTGCTCTATTTCAGAGCTACACTCCCAGCTCATATATGTTCTTCATATATTATTTTTATATTCAGAAATACATAATCATTTTTAAAAAATTAATTCCAGGGAGCTGGAGTTGTGGCTCAGCAGTAGAGTACTCACCTAGCATGTCTGAGGCCCTGGGTTCGATCCTTAGCACCACACAAAAATAAATAAATAAAATAAAGCTATTGTGTCCAACTACAACTAAAAAATAAATATTAAAAAAAAAAAAAAGTTAATTCCAGGCATAAGCCAAACTCAGAAGGTCAAGGGTCATATGTTTTCTCTCGTGTGGAGGCTAAAGAGGAAAAAGGAAAAGAAAGGTGGAAGGCAGGGTTCTCAAGAAATCAAAGAGAGGGCTGGGGCTGTAGCTCAGTGGCAGAGCGCTTGCCTAGCACATGTGAGGCACTGGGTTTGATCCTTGGCACCACATAAAAATAAATAAATAAAGATTTTGTGTCCATCTACAACTAAAAAAAAAAAAAAATCAAAGAGGGCTGGGGTTGTGGCTCAGCAGTAAAGCGTGTGCCTAGCACATGGTGAGGCCCTGGGTTCGATCTTTAGCACCACATAAAAGTAAATAAATAAATAAATAAAGGTATTGTGTCCAACTACAACTAAAAAATAAAAATATTTAAAAAAAAATCAAAGAGATCAGTAAGGAAAGGATTCAGAGGATGAAAGAAGGGGAGGAAGGAGTGAAGTACCAGGAAGTGATATTGGCCAAATTATATTTTTATATTGTGTGCATGTATGAATATGTAACAATAAATTCTGCCTTTATGTAAAACTATAATATACCAATAAAAAAATGTTGAAAGAGCCTGTAATTCCAGCGGTTCAGGAGGCCAACTTTGATCGCAAGTTCAAAGCCAGCCTCAGCCAAAAAGCGAGGCACTGTGCAACTCAGTGAGACCCTGTTTCTAAATACAAAATAGGGCTGGGGATGTGGCTCAGTGGCTGAGTGCCCCTGAGCTCAATCCCTGGTACCCAATAAAAAAAAGGTCTGGGGATATAGCTCAGTGGTAAATCCCCCCTGGATTTAATCCCGAGTAACCCCCACCCCACACACACACAAAAAAAAAAAAAAAGAAGAAGAAAAAGAGAAAGCCAAGTGACATTCTACCATAGAGTTTACTGTAATTAAAATACCCTATGGTTTTTGCTCATGGCCTATAATAACAATGTCTGTGGATACAGTTATAAGGACATTCTCCAGAGAGTGTTTAGCATAATCAACTTTACTCTTTATTTATTTCTAGGAGAGTTGTTGTCAATTTTTTTTTGATTTGATTTATTTTTCTTTTCACAGTGCTGAGGACCAAACCCAGGGCTTCACACGTAGTAGGCAAGCATTCTACCACTGAGCTACATCTCCAGCCCCTATTTTTTTCTTTTTGGTACTGGGTATTAAACTCAAGGGCACTTGACCACTGAGCCATATCCCCAGCCCTATTTTGTGTTTTATTTAGAGACAGAGTCTCATTGAGTCACTTAGCACCTCACCATTGCTAAGACAGGCTTTGAACTCCCCATCCTCCTGCCTCAGCCTCCCAAGCCACTTGGATTACAGGATTGTGCCACTCCCCGCAGTTCTTTTTCCCTTTTTTTAATGAAAGAAGTTTACCGAAACTTTATATCTCTAAAAGTAGTAACACATTTTTCTAGTCTAGGATTACTAATACGTCAGAATCTCATCCAAAAATTCAGATATCCCTGAGGCATTTATCAGTTGTGCTGAGATTTGAAATAGTATTTTCCCTTTTCAGATTTGGTTTCAGTGACATTCTTAGTATATACCTGAGCTTAGTGATTATAGCAAATAGAAGAGAGTATTCAAAATGAGTAAACTCAGAAGAAAGGTGCTGATAAATATGGGCAGGCTCAATGAAAAATTTGTAGTCCCAATTAGAATTTTTGCAACCTAATGATTTCTAATACTGTTAGGTTTTGTTAATTTACTTAGTGGGCTAAGCAATGTTGTCTCTATTTGTCCCTAAGGCCCAGGTTTTTGTTTTGTTTTTGTTTTTTTGATACTGGGGATTAAACTCAGGGGCACTTGGGGCCCTTGACCACTGAGCCCCAGAGCCCCAGAGCCACTGAGCCCCACAGCCACTGAGCCCCACAGCCACAGAGCTACAGAGCCACAGAGCCACAGACAGGGTCTCCCTGAGTTGCTTAGTGCCTCGCCATTGCTGAGGCTGGCTTTGAACTCGTGATCCTCCTGCCTTATCCCTCTGAGCTGCTGGGATTAAAGGCATGCGCCACCATACCTGGCCAGTTTTTCTCTTTTAAATGAAGTGCAGGCTAAACTGGTACTTATTTCTCTTTCCACAGGAAAATGATGGACTCTGGACAGATTGATTTTTACCAACATGATAAAGTTTGCTCCAATACCTGCAGAAGCACCAAATTTGATCTTCTGATTAGCAGTGCAAGAGCTCCAGTGCCAGGACAGCAGACAAGTGTGGTGCAGACACCCACTTCGGCCGATGGTAGGGGGTAGGAAACCACCTGAAAACCCGCTGTGTTTTTCAGCAGTACTTTCCCCCTCTTTTCTCCTTTGTGTTTCTTAATTTCAATTCTTGTGAGCATTGATATGCTTTGTGCTAAGGTATGGTAATCTTGGATGGGATTCTATGTCTTGGAAACAGATCTCTTTTTTTCCCTCTAAATAATTCTTATTGGCCAGATCTTCTTCCTTGTTTCTTCTTAGAATGCATGGTAAGCATTAGAAAGATGGTTCAATAGTTAACACTTATGCAGTGGTTTCACTTTGGTGCCTCTGGGCATATCAAGGATGAAATTAGACTGTTCTGAAAATCCTTTGCACTATTAGAGGTGAAGACAGCAGGGTAGATTAGAATGATGAATAGTTTTCAACTGTTGAACTGAGATTTATCAGTGTGTCATTGACTAGGCTGGACTATGAAGAGCCTGCCATAAGTCTCAGAGAGCTCTGCCTGGGTGGGCTCCAGATTACCAACATGAGGCTTCCTCACAGATGAATGGGATGGGTACACACTTCAGTCTTTTCGAATTTGGACTTAAGGCTCCTCGCCATGCAGCAAAGATATAACTTTATGGGAAAGATTATTCAAAAGGATTTAATCAACCCAACTGGAGACTTAGCCATAGTTGAATAAAATCTGTCTCAACTACTATCATAAACTTATAGATATGCCTGATAATAATCACAAGAATGCTCAAGGATCTAAAAGGTTAGGGAAGTACTGTTTTTGAAAAATGATCTCTTGGGCTGGGGATGTGGCTCAAGCGGTAGCGTGCTCGCCTGGCATGTGTGCGGCCAGGGTTCGATCCTCAGCACCACATACAAACAAAGATGTTGTGTCCACCGAAAACTAAAAACTAAAAAAATTCTCTCTCTTAAAAAAAAAAAAAAATATATATATATATATATATAATATATATATATATTTGGATTGGTTCACATTTACCATTCCTTTTATGTATTTAAAAGAAAAAAGAAAAATGATCTCTTTACTTTTAGTTTTGGCCAGCCCTAATATTCTATGAGTAAACACTGGGAAAGTAGAAGACAAATCTCTTGAAACCTAAATTCCCTTCAAAAACATATAAAATATCTAGCAGTTTGTATTTTTGCACACATGACTCACTTGAAAAGCAAAAAATGCTTTGAAATGTTTTCCTTTTATTTGGCCCAAACTCCTTTACTTCTTTATCCATATTAACATTATTATTTTGTTTGATTATTGATATCCTCCAGTGTATATAGTCCACACTTGTCTATATTGCTTGCTAGATTAATTTGATTTTTCTCCATTCTCTTTGTTTTAAAGCAATTTATAGTGGGGATTTTGTTCTTCTCTATCAATCTGTTGTTCATGGATCTCTCTCTCTCTCTCTTTATTTTTTTATTGGTACTGGAAGTTGAACCCAGGGATATTTTACCACTGAGTTAGATTCCTTAGCCCTTTTTATTTTTTGAGACAGAATCTCTCTTAAATTCTTAGGGCCTCACTTAATTGCAGAGGATGGCCTCAAATTTGGCAATCTTGCTTTAACTTCCCAAGTCACTAAAATTACAGGCATGTACCACTGCACCCAGTGGATCTCTTACCTGATTTCTTGAGTCTCCATTTCTCTTGCCTCTTTTTCATAGGCTGATATAGGTAAGCAATAATAAACTTAGATATTCTAAATGCTTAGTATCAAATGTGTTTGTAGGCAAAGCTTCCTACTTTTACATAATTTAAGGTTCTCCTCATCCAATTAAGTGGGTAGCCTGGTGATCATGCTTATATTCAGTCTCTTTCAAAAGCAGATTGCCCTTTCGTGATTTTATTTTTTCATTTTATTACTATTATTGTTATTATTTTGATACCGGGGATTGAACCCAGGGGCACTTAACCACTGAACCACATACCCAGCCCTTTTTTATATTTTGTTTAGAGGTAGGGTCTTGCTAAGTTACTTAGGGCCTCACTAAGTTGCTGAGGCTGGATTTGAATTTATAATTCTCCTGAGCCACTGTGATTACAGGTGTGCACCACTGTTCCCAGCTTCCTTTCATGATTTTGTAAGTTATCTGCCTATCTTTCCCTCCTACCCCATTCTTTTTTCTTTTCTTTTTCTGTGCTGGGGAATGAACCTAGGGCTTCACACCTGCTAGTGCTAGGCAAGTGCTCTGCAATTGAGCTACATTCCTAGCAATCTTTCCCTTTGTATTCAGAGTAAAAAAGCCTTTCTTTTGCAGGGCAGGTTTTATTTAGAAAATCCAATAATCATCCTAGCTTGCTTAAGAGTCTAGTTCTTTTTTTTTAGTACTGGGAGTTGAACTTGGGGGCATTTGGCTACTGAACCACATCTCTAGCCAAATTTTGTTATTTTATGTAGAGACAGGGTCTCACTGGATTGCTTAGTGCCTCACTTTTTTTTTTTTTTAAATATTTATTTATTTACTTTAGTTTTAGGTAGACACAATATCTTCATTTTATTTTTATGTGGTGCTGAGGATCGAACCCAGTGCCTCACGCATGCTAGGCGAATGCTCTACCTCTGAGCCACAACCCCAGCCCAGTGCCCCACTTTTTTGCTGAGGCTGCCTCAGCTTCCCCAGCTGCTGGGATTACAGGCATACACCACTATGCTCAGCTAGGAGTCTAGTTCGTAAAGCATGGACCTGCAGGCAAGAAGTGAGCATGTTTGTTTGTTTGTTTGTTTATTTAATACCAGGGATTGAACCCTTGGGTGTTTAACCAATAAGCCACATCCCCAGCCCTTTTTTTTTTTTTTGTACTGGTGATTGAACTCGGGGGCACTCGACCACTGAGCCACATCCCCAGCCCTAATTGTGTATTTTATTTAGAGACAGGATCTCACTGAGTTGCTTAGCGCCTTGCTAAATTGTTGAGGCAATTGTGTTGAGGAACTTGTGATCCTCTTGCCTTAGCCTCCCAAGCCACTGGGTTTATAGGTGTGTGCCACTGTGCCCGGCCTTATGTTTTATTTTGAGACAGGGCCTCGCTCAGTTGCTTAGGTTCTTGCTAAATTGCTGAGATTGGCTTTGAACCTGCTATCCCCCTGCCTCAGGCTCCTGATTCGGCATATACCACCGCACCTGACAAAGCGAGCATGTTAAAATAACATGGGCTGTGTGTCTGTATAAGATAGAAGGTAGCTATAGCTTTTGCATAAAATTCACTGGCCTCACATGTAATGGACTTCTTTTAGGTAGCATCACACAGATTGCCATCTCAGAAGAGAGCATGGAAGAGGCAGGACTGGAATGGAACTCGGCTCTCACCGCTGCTGTCACCATGGCCACAGAGGAGGGTGTGAAAAAAGACTCTGAGGAAATTTCAGGTACTTTTCCAATTCTTGTATGGGGTTTTTGTTTGTTTGTTTTTTATTTTATTTGCTACTGGGAATTAAACCCAAGGGAGCTTAATCACTGAGCTACACTCCAGCACCTTTTATTTTTTATTTTGAGACTATATCTCACTCAATTGCTTAGGGCCTCACTAAATTACTGAGGCTGGTCTTGAACTTGTGATCATCCTGCCTCAGCCTCCCAAGTTGTTAGGATTATAGGCATGCACCACCATGCTAGTATCCTGTAGGTTTTTGTGACCCTTACCATCACTATGATTATGGACAAAGAAGGCTTGTTAATATGAATAATACTAACCATAGTTAAACATCTTATTTTAATCCATGAAGTTGCCCTTCAGAGTCACATTTTACACATGAAGATTTGGAAAGGTTCAGCAGCTTGCCTAAGATGAGCCACACAACCAATAGGTGTCAGAGCTGAAATCAGCTGTTTGACTCTGTGTTCTATATTTTCCCTCCTATCAAATTGCCCCCAACTTTGGCACATTTCTTCAAACTTCAGGATGTCCAGAGGAATCAGTGGCACATGCCTGTAATCCCAGCAGTTTGGGAGGCTGAGGCAGGAGGATTGCAAGTTCAAAGCCAGCCTCAGCAATTTAGCGAGGCCCTAAGTAACTCACTGAGACCCTTTCTCCAAATAAAATAAAATTTAAAAATGGGGTGGGGTGGGGCTGGGGATATTGCTCAATGGTTAAGTGCCCCTGGTTCAATCTCCGATACAAAAAAAAAAAGGATGTCTGAAGGCAAAATTAGATAGCGGGTGGTGCAGAGGATGGGGATTAATGATTTACTTAGAGGGGATCAGAGAGGCTTAATATCGTTCTTCATTTATTAATTCATCTAATAAACATTTAATTGGTAATTATGTTGCAAGATTCTAGGTGCATAAATGAAAAGACATGGCAACCTCCCCCAGGGAACTTTTTTTTTTTTTAAATATGTTTTTACTTGTAGATGAACTCAATACCTTTATTTTATGTGGTGCTGAGAATCGAACCCAGTGCCTCACACGTGCTAGGCAAGTGCTCTACCACTGAGCCCACAACCCCAGGCCCCCCGGGGAGCTTATAGTGATATCTATCCAATAAGGGAGAGTATATCTTTTAATTAATATTTAGTTTAATATCTTTATTATTTTAACTTAATAATATTAAATATTATCCAACTTAAAATTAAATTTGAATGTAATTAATACTTAATAATAAATATTTAATGTTTAATATTTCGCTTGCTATCTATTAGAAGAAAATATCTTTTTCTTTTTTGTTTTTTAATTTTTTAATTTATTTAATTATCTGTTTTTATAGACAGAGCCATAACAAAATAAGGGTATGACAAATTGAGGCAAGCTCCTAAGTGACTGAAGGGGCCAAATAATTAAGTAACAACTCAGGAAGGCAGCTAATGTCCCAAAGTTCTTTCCCTTTTTCCAGTAACAACCCAACAAGAAATCCTTTTGAATTGAAATAATTTTGAATTAAATATTGTAGAGATGTGCCTAGGTAGCTTTCTTTGTTTACCCTCTATCTTATCCTCTTGTGCCAGAGGACACATTGATGTTTTGGAAAGGAATAGCTGATGTAGGCCTGATGGAAGAGGTTGTCTGCAACATACAGAAGGAAATAGAGGAGCTCCTAAGGGGAGTTCAGCAGCGGCTCATCCAGACTCCCTTCCAGGTCACAGGTGAGTGCACTGATCCTAACAACAGTGGTCATTTATCAAATACTCAACAACTGTGGGCAGGTCCTTTTAGTCTCACAGCAACTCTGAAGTACAAATATCATTATCTCCATTTTACAGATAAAGGAAAATAAGGCTCATAAAAATTAAGTCACTTGTTTAAAGTTCATAACTGGGTTTTAAACTCAGGTCTGGCTGTTTTTTCTACATGTAGTTTTTCCTTTATAAATAGTGCCAGAAAGAAGCACTTTCTCCATACCCCTGCCCCATGTTCACTCTCTAACTCACGCGCTCTCTCTCTATTGTATATATATGAATGTGTGTGTGTATGTATGCTTGATCTTAGCCAAAAGGCTGAGAAGCAATGTGTGTATATACGTGTGTGTGTGTGTGTGTGTGTGTAAGGTGTGTAAGTCTGAAAATTAGAAAAATCTATCTGGTTTTAGATGATGATGATGATGATTAGTTTTGGTACTGGGTATTGAACAAAAGGTACTTTACCACTGAGCTACATCCCCAATTCTTTTTAAACTAGGTTTCACTGAGTTCCAACTTGTGATCCTTTAGCTTCAATAGAAGTAGTCAGAGTATGAGTAGTAGGATTTATATTTTTAAAAGATCACTCTGGTTGCTCTCTGGAGAGTTTATGGGTCATAAGTGGAAATAAGAAGATGAACTGGGAGAGTTTAAAACATTAGTCCAAGCAAAAAAATGAAGCTGAGGGGCTGGGGTTGTGGCTCAGCAATAGAGCACTCGCCTAGCATGTGCAAGGTCCTGGGTTCGATCTTTGGCACCACATATAAATAAAAAAAATAAAGCCATTGTGTCCAACTACAACTAAAAAATAAATATTAAAAAAAAATGAAGCTGAGGACTGGGGCTATATCTCAGTGGTGGAGTATTTGCCTAGCATGCACAAGGTCCTGGGTCCAATCCCCAGCACCAGATAATAAAAAGAGGAGAAAAAAGAATAGAGGAATTCTATGGATTCAGTGCAATCTCAATAAAATTCCAGTGGGATTTAAAAAAAGAAATGAAGCCAGGCATGGTGGTACACAACTGTAATCCTAGCAACTCAGGAAACTGAAGCAGGAGGATCACAAGTTCTAGGCCAACCTTGGCAACTTAGGGGAGACACTGTCAAAATTTTAAAATTTGGGGGACTGGGGATGTGGTTTAGTGGTAGAGAACTAGCCTAGCATGTGCAAGGCCCAGAGTTCATCCCCAGCATTGAAAAAAAAAAAAAAAAATCAAATATTTTTTATGTATTTATTTTGATCTATTTTTAAATTTATATTTATTTATTTATTTATTTTTAAAATTTTGGTACCAGGGATTGAACCCAGTGCTGCTTAATCACTGAGCTACTTCCCCAGCCATTTTTTTTTTATATTTTATTCAGACACAGGATCTTGCTGAGTTGCTTTAGGACCTGACCAAATTGCTGAGGCCGGTTTGAACTTGTGGTCCTCCTGCCTCAGCCTCCTGAGCCCCTGGGATTATAGGTGTACCATCACACCCAGCCTAACAACTCTTTTTACCCCCTGCAGTACTAGGGATTGAACCCAGGGCCACATGTATAAGCTATGTTTCCAGCCCATTTTACTTTTTTGTTTTGAGAGAGTCTCGATAAGTTGCCTGGACTGGCCTTGGACTTATAGTCCTCCTTCCCCAACCTCCCAAGTAGCTAGGATTGCAAGCATGTGCCACCACACCCAGCTACTGACAAAATTTTCAAGAACTTTTATGGAACATGTAGGCACAGTGACTCGGAAGGCTAAGACAGGGGGATTGCAAGTTTGATACTAGCCTCAGCATCTTAGGGAGATCCTGTCTCAAAAAGGACTGGTGATATATCTCAGTGGTAAAATACCCATGGGTTCAATTTCCCGTTTCAAAGAAAAGAAAAGTTTTCTAAAAGGGAATAGAGATAATACTTTGTGTGTGTGTGGGGGGGTGGTGGTGGTGGTGGTTCTGGGGAATGAACCCAGGGCCTCAAGCATGCCAGGCAAGCACTCTACCACAGAACCATATCCCCAGCCCCAGAAGTAATACTATTAATAATAATATTGGGGGCTGGGGTTGTGGCTCAGCGGTAGAGTGCTCACCTAACACATGCGAGGCCCTGGGTTTGATCCTTAGCACCGCATAAAAATAAATAAATAAAATAAAGGTATTGTGTCCAACTACAACTAAAAATAAATAAATATTTAAAAAATAATATTGCATGCCTGCCAGAGGTAGTGGTGCATGCCTGTAATCCCAGTGGCTTGGGGAGCTGAAGCAGGAGGATCACAGGTTCAAGGCCAGCCTCAGCAACTTAGCGAGACCGGCTCAAAATAAAATATTAAAAAAGCGGCTGGGGAGCTGAGGATATAGCTCAATTGGTAGAGTGCTTGCCTTGCAGACACAAGGCCCTGGGTTTGATCCCCAGCACCCCTGCAAAAATGCTGGAAATGTGACTCAGTGGTTGAGTGCCCCTGGGTTCAATCCCTAGTATCGAAAAAAAAAAAATAATAATAATAATATTGCATACCAGTCCTCACATGTGACACTTAAAATATATTTCTAATCCTCATATCTATTTTACAGAGTAAGTATTTACAGAATAAGTATTATCAGTTCTATTTGTTTCAGATGGGAAAACTGAGGGAGTGAAATGACCTACCGTAGGTCACATAGATAGTAGCAAAACTAGAGTCAGTGCTTAGCAGGGGTGAGGCCCTAGGTTCAATTCCCAGTACCAAAAGAACAACCATAAAACTAGCAAAACTAGTTTTCAAACTTAGGTCTTGGGGGCTGGGGATATAGTTCAGTTGGTAGAATGCTTGCCTTGCATGCACAAGGCCCTGGGTTCGATCCCCAGAACCAAAAAAACAAAACAAACAAATTTAGGTCTTATCTAGTCTAGCCACAACATTTTCTTTCTTTCTTTTTTTTTTTTTTTCTTTTCTTTTGTTTTCTCTTCTCTTTTCTTTCTTTGGATTGAACCACAGGGCACTTAGCCACTGAGCCGTATCTCCAGACCTTTTTTTGTATTTTATTTTGAGATAGGGTCTAAGTTGCTAAGGCTGGGTTTGAATTTGCAATCCTCCTGCCTCGGCTTCCCAAGCTGCTGGGATTATAGGCATGTGCCACCATGCCTGGCAAGCCACGGTTTTCTATACTGAAAGTAAAAACTTATAACCAGACAGAGGATATTTTTTTCTGATTTCTTTCTTTCTTTATATGGAAAGACATAGGTGTAACAATTAAATCAAAAAGCATTTATACATGTGATAAATCTTTGTATAGAAATTATTAAAATGCAATGAGGAAAATTTCATAATGTCTGGATTGTTTCATATTTATCAATAGCACAACAGGAAGCTGGTAGAACATTTGTTTTTTACTCTACAGGCATGTATTTTGTTTTAAATAGATGCTGCTGTTCTCAACAATGTGGCACATACCTTTGGCCTAATGGACACAGTTAAGAAGGTTTTGGACAACAGAAGGAACCAAGTAGAGCAAGGAGAAGAGCAATTTCTCTATACTCTGACAGGTGTGTATTTCTCTCCTTAGTACATATACTAATGTCCTTGAATCTTGCCATTTCCTTGTTAATGTTTGTTGAGACTGACTTTTTTTTTTTTTTAATTTTATATATCAGATTTTGCTTTTTGCTTTTTGAAAAACAAACAATCCACCTGAGGGAAGGTGGATTAAAACAAAGGAAAAAAGAGGGAAGCCAACATCATGATCCTTCTGTATCTTTTGGAGGAGTAAGATGTCTGCTAGATTGCTTCATTAATCAAATAATGTTGGTGACAGAAGACACAAATTAATCTTTGTCATTTTTTGAAACATTTTTCTAGTTGTAGATGGACACAATATCTTTGGGGTTTTTTATTTTATTTTATTTATTTATTTTTTTAATATTTATTTTTAGGTGTAAATGGACACAACACAATGCCTTTATTTTTTTATGTGGTGCTGAGGATCGAACCCGGGTCCTGTCCATGCTAGGGGAGCACTCTACCGCTGAGCCACCATCCCAGCCCTTGGGTTTTTTTAAATATTTATTTTTTTAGTTGTAGTTGGACACATATTTTTATTTTATTTATTTATTTTTATGTGGTACTAAAGATCAAATCCAGGGCCTTACATGTGCTAGGCGAGCACGCCACTGCTGAGCCACAACCCTATTTATTTATTTATAAATTTAGAAATTTATTCTGCTTAATCCATAAGCTTTATATAGCTTTAGTTTAAAAAAAAAAAAGAGAGAGGAAACAAAAATAGTGAAACCAAGACAATATTTTCAAAGTCTGGGCTCTTCTAGCCTTCCAAATACAAGAGCTCTGAAAGTTGTATATAGCAATTGGAAGAACAAGACAAAAATATGAATGGATCTGTGACATTTTATAAAACAAAATTTTAGATTAACTGAAGGATCCTTCCTTCATTTTAATAATTGCTAGGTTGAAGTTCACCATGTAAAAAAAAAAGAGGGGGCATGAATTTACATTGCAAAAGGTGTCCACAGTGTATTAGTGACATTCTTTTATTGACCGCTGACATAAATTCATTTAGAGTAAAATATTTTAAGCCAAAAAAAAATCCCTTTTTTAAAAAAGGGAGTTTAAGTATTGTTGGCATTCTCATGGTTCCTCTACACTCTCCTGGCTGTTCCCACAGGTTTGTTTTTTGTTTTTTGTTTTGTCTTTCTCTCTCTCCCCCGCCCCTCTCTTTTTTTCTTTACTTTTTCTCATTTGAGTCTTACCACCATTTAAGTTATGCTTCCAACTTTGTATGTTTGTAAGCTTTCCCAGAAATAAGACTACTGCTGAACTACCACAAAAGTATTAATTTATTTTTTTATGTGGTGCTGAGAATCGAATACAGTGCCTCACACAGGTGAGGCAAGAGTTCAACCACTGAGCCTCAACCCAGCCCAAATCTTCGTCATTTTACATTATTATTTTTTTTAGAATAAACTGCATTCATAAAAATAAAACTTCATAAAAATATGGAATGCTTTACAAAGTTGCGTGTGGTCCTTATGCAGGGGCCATGCTAATCGCTAATCTCTATATCATTCCAATTTTAGTATATGTGCTATTGAAGCAAGCTCATTTTTACATTATTGATACTGCTTCTTTTGGTAGATATAAATTTTGCACCTTCACCATTATTTATGGTAGTCAGAAATTACAAGCACCTAGGTAATTTAACTCTTTTTACAATCAAGACTTTGTGATCATTTTCAAATTAGATCTTGTTTTTGTTTTATGGTACTGGGGCTTAAAATATTTTAACATTGACATGTTAAAATACTGTTGTTTTAAAAACATTGTTTTAATGGAGCTGGGGCTATAGCTCAGTGGCAGAGAACTTGCCTGGTATGCGTGAGGCACTGGGTTCAATCCTCAGCACCACATGAAAATAAACAAATAAAATAAAGGCATTCTGTCCATCTACAACTACAAAAAAATTAAAAAAAACAAAACATTGTTTCAAGCTTATTTTTTTACATCTAGTTTATATATTTGTCATTGTTGTTGTTTGGTACTGGGGATAGAACTCAGAGGTCCTTTACCACTGAGTCACATTCCTAGTCCTTTTTCACTAAGTTGCCCAGGCTGTTCTCAAACTTGCAGTTCTCCTGCCTCCATCTCCAAAATTGCTGGGATTACAAGTGTGTGCTGCCACACCCAGATCTAGTTTGTATTTTAACTTCAGTTCACTGAGTTTTGGTCCCCCTGAGAATGCTAGGATGATCATTCTCCCTCTTGACTCTGTATAGATAATTGAGAGGATAAATGATCTGACAGAAAAGCCTAGAGTAGATAGATCTCTTGTCATTTTACTACTAGCCTGGCACTTTCTCTTACCTTGAAACTTTAATCTATCAGCAGAATGGGTTTTTATTTTTTTGGGTACCAGGAATTGAACTCAGGGGCACTCAATCACTGAGCCACATCCCAGCCCTTTTTTTGTATTTTTTTATTTAGAGGCAGGATCTCACTGAGTTGCTTAGCACCTCACTGTTGCTTAGACTGGCTTTAAACTCACAATCCTCCTGCCTTAGCCTCCCAAGCTGCCATGTTTACAGGGGTGTGCCACCATGCCCAGCAGCGGAATGGTTTTTGTTAGAAATGTGGGCTTTTTCTGGGCATGGTAGTGCACACCTGTAATCCCAGCAATTTGGGAGGCTGAGGCAGGAGGATAGAACCGTTAAGACTTCTTTCAGACTGGGGATATAGCTCAGTTGGTAGAGTGCTTGCACAAGGCCCTGGGTTCAATCCCCAGCACCATAAGAATTCTTTCAGTTCTATAATTCTTAGAGAGTTATTCTGTAACTCACTTGAGACATCTCTGGGTTCATGGTAGACTGGCAATTTGGGTCACCAGCAAAGGAGTTTTCCAGTCAAAGTAGTTTTCCATCAAGGTAATCTTGATTTGAAGGACAGTTTGAGAGCCATTGTGTTTTTAGAATGATTCCAAATGTATTGTGCAGATACTTCTTATTTCATCTATAGACCTAGGCAGGAATATTTAAGCCAGAACACCAATTGGATGATCTTAGAGAAGTAGAGAATAGAATAGTGGTTGCCAGAGTCTGGGAAGGGTGTGAGGGAAGGAGGGTTGGAGAAAACATGGTTAATGGGTGCAGGGGTGCACTTGGATAGGAAAATAACTTCTAATGTTCTTTGGCACAGAGGATCATTATGGTTGAAATCCATTAATTGAAATTTCAAAATAGTGAAGAGACGAATTTTTTGGGGGGCAGGAGGTACCAAGGATTGAATATGGGGGCACTTAACCACTGAGCTATATCCCCAACCCTTTATTTTTATTTAGAGACAGGTTCTCACTAAGTTGCTTAGCACTTTACTAAGTTGCTGAGGTTGCCTTTAAACTTGCAATCCTCCTGCCTCAACCTCCTGAGCAGCTGGGATTACAGGTGTGACCCACCATGCCCAATTGAAGAGAGGATTTTGAATATTTCGAACACAAAGAAATGATATCTCTCTGAAGTGATAGATATGCCAATTATTTAATCTGATCATTGCATATTATATACATGTATTGAAATACCACCAGGACCCTATAAATATGTACAATTAGTACATATCAATAAAAAAGACTGGAGAAATAGGTCAGTTTTAGAGCATGTGCTTAGCATGCTTGAGCCCTTGGGTTTATCTTATTGGCACTGGGCATTGAACCCAGGGCTGCTTTAAGCTTGAGCTACATCCCCAGTCATTTTTGTTTTTAAATTTTGAGATATGGTCTTACTAAATTACCCAGGCTGGCCTCAAATTTGGCAATCTTCCTGTCTTAGCCTTCCAAATTGTTGGGATCACAGGTATACATTACTATGCCCAGCTAAAGCCTTGGATTTAAAACTTGTACTTGTGAAAAGGAAAAGAGAAAAAAAAGACCAGCTGGAGGCTTCTTTGGTTTGCATTTTGGTGATAGCTGACAAAATGCTGGAGGAGCTTTTAGAATTGAAAGTAGGATCACAGCTTGAAAAAATTCTGAACTGTTACCCTGCCTATAATTACACAAAGAAATGTAATTACTGGAGGGGTTTTAAAATCATCCATTCTAGTCATTTTGAAAACAGTGGAGTCTCTTCTCTGAGGCTACATAGTGGATAAACCAGGGCAGGATTCCATGTCTCTTGATTCCCAGTTTAATGTTCCGAAGATTATACTTCCCACCACACAGTTTTTTGTTTTTGTTTTTTAACCATAGACTTGGAACGCCAGTTGGAAGAGCAAAAGAAGCAAGCCCAGGATCATAGGCTGAAATCCCAGACAGTTCAAAATGTGGTACTGATGCCTGTGAGCACTCCTAAGCCTCCAAAAAGGCCTCGGCTCCAGCGGCCAGCCTCCACCACCGTACTGAGCCCTTCTCCTCCTGTGCAGCAACCTCAATTCACAGTCATCTCACCCATCACCATCACCCCAGTGGGTCAGTCATTTTCCATGGGCAATATTCCAGTGGCCACCCTCAGCCAGGGCTCCAGTCCTGTGACTGTCCACACACTGCCTTCTGGCCCTCAGCTCTTCCGATACGCCACAGTGGTCTCCTCTGCCAAGAGCAGCTCACCAGAAACAGTGACCATCCACCCTTCATCTAGCTTGGCACTGCTAAGCTCTACTACCATGCAGGATGGAAGCACCCTGGGCAACATGACCACCATGGTGAGCCCTGTGGAGCTGGTAGCCATGGAGTCTGGCCTGACCTCAGCACTCCAGGCAGTTGAAAGCACCGCAGAGGATGGGCAGACCATCATTGAAATTGATCCAGCCCCAGACCCTGAAGCTGAAGACACTGAGGGCAAAGCAGTCATCTTGGAGACAGAGTTGAGGACTGAGGAGAAAGTAGTGGCTGAGATGGAAGAACACCAGCACCAAGTCCACAATGTGGAGATTGTGGTCTTAGAGGATTGACTGGGGATCTCGGGGCCAGGAGATATGTTTTGGTTTGGAATTTTAATTATTTGTTTATTTTTATCATTGTCCCACTCATTTCCACATAGGATCCTTCCTTTTTTTTTTTTTTTTTTAGAACAAAATTTCATTGTTATAACTGAAAATGTTGGATTCCTCCCACTCTCTCATTGAAAAATGGACAAAACAAACTGCCCTTCCACAGTTGAGAGTAGGTCGTTCAATGTCTTAATCATCTTACTCCATGAAAGTTATTTTTTTAGGGGAGGCATCAAAATAACCAGAAACCCTTTCCAGTCTAGTCTATCTGTGTACGCATGTGGTTTTATTCTTGTAAAGATGATTGACCAAACTCTGGAACACAGATCTGACACTGGAAGGCAACCCATTCACATGTGGATGCAGAAGTATGCTTTTTTTTTATTTGTATCTTGGAAAGGATTCTCAGAGGGCAGTGCAAAACTCTGAAACAAAAAGAAGTTGAACTCTGCTTGGAGGGGAAGGTAGCATGCTAGCTGCAGCTTAAAAAGGGAAATGCTTTCACAAGGATGGGGCAAGGGAATTATCTTACCTACAAAGGTGCAACTGATATCACTTAAGATCTCTGAGGGTTGTTACTAGGGGTACCATTTGAAAAGAGGCCAGTAATAAGTGGAAGTGTACATTTTCACAGAGTAAGTGATAACAGTGGCCTGTGGCTTTGCTGAAATAGAAATCAAGGGACACTACAGCTGTGCTTTAAAGTTCAAGGTGATAGCTTCCTTGCCCCCCACTTTGTAGAAGCACTTACCCTCCTAACCTAGGATCAGTTCTTTCATTTGCAAACTGTGTGATGTGGTGTAAATTGCTCTGGTCTTTAGAGTGTGGCTGCCTGTGGGTGGGACTCCAAGGCCATCATTTTTATTGCATGACTCCAGGAACAGGGGGAGTTCCTCATTCAGACCAGCTTCCATCTTTGATGGGGCCTTTCCCCCTCCTCCTCCTTGGCTTTGGAACCAAAAGCAGTCACTCATCTGGTGCTTCCTCTTGTTCTCCCCTCTACCCTCAATTCTTAATGGCATCTGTCTTCTGGATCCCACGCTCTTCAGCTTTTTGGCTGATTTGGAGATCAGTGACAGGTGCCTGCCTGCCTTCATCTCCTTTTAGATTCATTTATACCACAGATGTTTCTGTGAGATACTGAGCTCATAAAAAAGCCTTAGGCTTGGCAGGGAAAACTGGTAACACCCCCAGCCTTTCCTGAGGCACCAACTAAATGTCTCCTCTTGAGTGAGCTGGACTCCCTGGGAAAGAAACATTATCTGTGACATTATATTATAGGAAATGTACCAGGAATGTCAATAGTAATGTTGTGTTTTGTTTTTGTTTTCCTAAATGTTGTTTGTATATTTAGAGCTGGCAATTTTTTTTTTTTTTTTTTTTTTTTTTTGTGCTATGATTCCTTCTCTTTGACTGGTCCTCTTCAGTGTTTGGGATAAGAGTAGACCCTGTTTTTTTGTTGTTTCTTTGACTTCATTGTTTACTGCACCAGGATAATATAGGGAAACTACAGGCAACTTTAATGAAAAAATAGGTTAAAAAAAAAAAAAAAGCACACACTTTAGGAATGGGAGGATTTTTTTTTTTTAATTAAAAGCAAATCTTTGACCTGTAGTTTCTTTCTTTTTTTCTTTCTTCTTTTTTTTTAAAGAAGGCTTTTCTCTGAAGGTGTGTTTTTTCCCAACAGATGTTGGAAACTGTATCAAAGCCAGTGAAAATTGTGTTCTGCCATCCCTTGGATGGCTGCATATAGCCAGAGAAGCCCTCTAACTGGGGAGGGTCAATCTTAAAAGTTGTAAGAGTGAGACTTCTGAACTCTGTACAAGTAGTGGTTTCAGCTTTAAAATTAGGGTTTGATTTTTCTTTTCAAAATATTTAGTAGACTTAGCATTCAGTTTAGAAAAAAATCTTTGGCCTTTTACATATCTTTAGTGAGGGAAGTGGCTTCTGTTATCTGCTTCTTTAGTTTTTCTCCTGGTACATAAACAAAATCTCTGTCTAAAGACTGAAGCTACTACTTGAATCTAGAAAGGCACATCTCATCCCTATTGTGATCTTTAGGGATACTTTTCTCTTTCCCAGAAATGAGAGGACCAATTCAGAATAGCAGAGGAACCTAAAGATTTTGGTGAGCTAGCTCAAGTTTCTTTCTTTTCCCCATCAGAGCTGTTGGTAGTGTATAAGGTAGCATGAACATCATGCTTCCAATGTCAAGAGATCTCCTGAAGACACAACCTGTTGACTTTCTGAATATTCCAGCTGGTGAAATACATGAGCTTTACTGTTTTGCTGGTCTTCCAATGACCTGTCATTATTAGCTGCTGTGGTAGCCATTGCTCTGTGTGAGTTCCCTGACTCCCTGGTCTAGGTGATTTTAACTGGGGTGAGACATCAGCAAGCCCCTGACACGTGCATAAGCAGCTGCAATGAATCTCCTCAGGCTGATTTGACAGGAGCCATCTATCTTTCTATTCATTCATTAAATAAACATTTATGAATACCACTTATGTGCCAGGCTTTGTGCTAGGCACCAGAAGTGCAAAGATGAAGACAGTGCCTACATTCAAGGAGTTACTTCTCCAAACCTCTGGAGTTGTGGACAATCTTCCAATATGTTTGGTTTCTTTTGTAATCCTATGTATCTTATTTTATGCATTGAAAAACATTATTCTGAGAATTGGTCCATAGATTTCAGGATTGTGCCAAAGAAACAAAAAGGTGAGAAGCCACCTCCAATGAGATTCTGAAACATGGAGGTGAGTGCAGCTACAGGGTTGTTGGCCTGGAGATAAGAAAGCAAAGGGTCAAGCTCCTAACTCACGGCGGGGTTCATAAAAGAGAAAAAATCTTTAATCTCTTGCTGCTTCTGCCTGCAGAGGCAGGCAGAGTCAGTAGATGGGCAATCTCCTGAGAGTGCCTCACTGGAGAAAAACGAGTATACCTGGGCTTCTCCAGGTTTCCATCAAATGAAACCAGGGCTGAATCTGGTGTAGGACTGGAGTCTAGCTGGTAAAGGGGAAATGCTCCAGACCCTGCCATGTGGTTTCTCCAAAGGCCTGAGTCAACTGTACAACTGTCTTGTCTTGGCCATGTCCCTGTTTGGTCCGTGCCTTATTCCCATATCCTTCTTAATTTCCATATCTAACCTGCCCCCCAAAATAGTGATTCTGAAGTAAAAATGGACCATAGACATGAATATTGAAGATTCAAAATCACTTCAGAGTGCATTTTTTACACACCTATGTTCACATTAGGAAAGGAGGGTCAGTGTAAATTCAGTGTTGGAAATTAACAGTTAAGGTGTCTTTGATATTCTTTAATGGTGGCCATTTACCCTGTGTCAAAAGGCAGTAGAGGTGAGTATATGGTGGTGAGTACAGAGTTATAACCATAGCAAGATTCAAGCATGAAATATGGAATTACTAGTTGACTGAGTTCTAACTGACCCAGGTTTTAAAACTCTCAAGAGTTAGAAAGGAAAAAAAAAAGGTTGAATCCTGAAAATAGACATAAGGTTATGATTCACCTTGGACAATACTACTTAGGAAATAGTTCTCTCAGTCAAAAAAGGGACACCAGCCTAGCTCCTGCATTTCAGACAACTTTCCTAATACAACTGATCACTTCCCTGAAGGTAGGACAGATCCCTTTCACTTAGGATGATCCCTCCCTGGAATTTTTTTTTTTTTTTTTGGTAGTGCTGGGAATTAAACCCAAGGGTTTGCACAAGCTAACCAAGTGCTCCAACATTGAGCTACATCCCCAGTCTCTCCATGGGAAATTATTGGGTAGTCTATAATGTACTTTCATAAGATCCATGGTTGTCAGGGACCCCAAGGAATTGGTTCTGCCAGATTTAGACTCTGTCCCTTGAATTTCTATTTTAGTACCATTTGAGTTCTTTCCAGGTTTCCTTCCCAAGACTAGAACACCTTTGCCCTTAGTTATGCAGTTTGACTTACTCTATTTTTAATCCCCTCTGTATACACTCCTTCATCCTTGTCTTTTTCTGTTTCATTAATTCTGCCTTTCTGCCAGGTCAGTGCAGTAACTTTCAACTCTTTTTTTTCCCCAATACTGGAGTTAAACCAGGATGCTTTACCATTGAGCTACATTCTCAGCCATTCTTATTTTTGACAGGCTCTAAGTTGCTTGAACTTGCAATCCTCCTGCCTCAGCCTCCTGAGTGTTGTTTGGATTACAGGTGTGCACCAATTTACCCTGCAATTTTCAACTTTTTTCTGGAGGGTTTTGGGAGTAGGGATTGAATTCAGGGGCATTCTATCACTGAGCCAAATTACTGGTCTTTATTATTATTATTATTATTATTATAATTTTAAGACAGGGTTTCATTAAGTTGCTGAGGCTACCCTCCAACTTGTGATCCTCCTGCATCATGCTTCCTAGGCAGTAAGACTACAGGCCTCTATCACCTTGCCTAGGTAGTACCTGAAGTTTGTATTATGTCTTCTGAGCCTTTCAACATAACAGAACCCACACCCTGCATTCTGCATTGTGAAATTGCTCTGGGCTTTCCTCATGTTATCTCTGGTTTCCATTTCTGTACCACTACTGGTAGTCATGTCTTGGAATTTGGTATATATGGATCTACCTTTGTAGTTTGAGAACATGAATAAATAGTCGGTTTGGTTTACAATAGAGTAAATGTGGGACTGGGCATGTTGGCACATGTCTGTAATCCCAGCCACTCCAGAGGATGAGGCAAGAGGATTGAAAGTTCAAGGGCAGCCTGAGCAATTTAGTGAGACTCTGTCTCAAAATAAAAAGGGCTGGAGATGTAGCTCAGTGGTAAAGTGCCCCTGGCTTAAATCCTCAGTACCTCAAAAAAAAAAAAAAAAAAAGTATGGTGAGTGAGGATATAGCCCCGTGATAGAGATGTTTGCCTAGTATATGGTAAGCCCTAGGTTCCATCCCCAGCACCACAGGAAAAAAGAAAGAAGAGAAAATGTGAGGCTTGGTGAGGACTCACAAACACAGGTTCCCCATGGGCTTCTCTAGAAGGGTTTACTTGCATTTCAAAATGTAGATGTATTTATTTGCTTTTCTCTCTCTCTCTCTCTCTCTCTAACTTGTTTTCTCTAACAAAGTCTATAAACTATAGAGCAAACCGGAGACTCACAGCAATGTTTCAGCCTGCAAATTTATTTCAATTCACATTTCTGTTTTATTGAATTTGCATATGGGAAATCATAGATGTATAACTTGATAAATTTGACAAGCTGAACACACCCATGAAACCAGCATGCAGATCGAGGAAAGCAAACATTACCAACACCTCACCCTGCAAGGGTAACTATTCTCCAGTTCTCTAACACAGTTTATTTTTGCTTCTTTTTGAACCTTTTTGTGAGTGGATTTTTCACTCAACATTGTGTTTATGCCACTCATCCATAATATTATATGAAGTTGTTAGTTTTTTCTCATTGCTCTATAGAAACTAGCTATGCCAGAACTGAAGCATTTGACCAATAATGAGCACTTGGGTAACTTCCACCTTGGAATGATTATAAATCATTCCTCTGTGAACTTTTTTTTTTTTTTCCCCCTCAGTGCTGGGAATGGAACCCAGGCCTTAAGTATGCTGGGAAAATGTTCTGTTACTGACTATATCCCCAGCCCCAACCTTTTTATACGTGTCTTTTGAGAAATATAAATATGCAGTCGGTCATGGAGGCATATACCTATAATCCCAGCAACTCAGCAGGCTTGTTGCCAAAAGCTCAGTCCTTGTCTGGATGTCAATCCAATAATCAGGAAACTGTTTTGAGAAAAAGGAAAAAGAAGGTTTATTGCTTTGCTAGCAAAGGAGAAATGCAGGGGATTCCTGTCCCAAAGGCTGTATGATTCTGCTCATCAGCAGGAACAGGGGGCTTTTATAGAGGTGATTCAAAGAAAATGAGATTAGAGAGGAGAGATCAGGAAGAAGTTTAGGCAAAAGAAAATCAGAGAGGAGAAGATTTAGGGAAAAAAGATTGAGAAAAAGAACAAAGCCACAGGGATATAGTCAAAGCATCAAGTGAACCCCTGTTACAGGCTGAGGCAGGAGAATTGCAAGTTCAAGGCCATCCTGGGCAATTTAGGGAGAGTGTATCTTAATGAAAATAAAAAGGGTTGGAGATATAGTTCAGTGGTGGCAGAACATCCCTGGGTTCAAATCCCTAGTACATCAGGTACATATATATGTCGAGTTTCAAACATTAGGATGGTTCATATGAAAAAAAGACAAGATACAGTTTTTCTTTTAAAATATTTTTTAGTCATTAATGGGCCTTTATTTTACTTATTTATATGCGGTGCTGAGAATAGAACCCAGTGCCTTACACATGCTAGGTGCTCTAACATTGAGCCACAACCCCAGCCCCAAGATACAGTTTTTATTAAACCAAAACAAACCCAACAACATCAGTAGTTTTCTTACAAAAGTTGGTTCACATTTCCTTATAATAACTCTTGACTGGAACTGAGGCATATCTTCAGTATGGCTTCTTCATCAACCCCACAAACTCCCTATGACAATCCCAGATTGACTGACTGACTTAAATAGTTGTGTTTGTTGTTGTTGTTGTCTTTTTTTTTTGGTACCAGAGATTTAAATCCCTTGGGTGGGCTTAACCACTGAGCAACATCCTCAGCCCCTTTTGTGTTTTTTAGTTTTGAGACAGCCTCACCACTAAGATGCTGAGGCCAGCTCTGAATTTACAAGCCTCCTGCCTCAGCCTCCCAAGGTGCTGAGATTATTGGCATGCACCACCACACCCCACCCAGCTGCTTAGAATATCCTTCCCCCAGATAACTACAAAACTTATTTCCTCACTTCCTTCTAGCCTCTGTTCACATGCCACCTTATCAGGGAGGACTTTCCTAACTATACACCCTATAAAAAAATGGCAATTTCCCCCTGTGCTATGCTTCCTATATTCTTCTACTCTCCTTTCTTTTTCTTTATTTTACTTATCTGACACATTTATTTTCTCCCCTCTAGAATAGAAGCTCCTTGAGCAAGAAACTTTCTTGTCTAAATATGTAGTTTCCACAACTGGAACAGTGCCAGACATGTAGTGGAAGCCTGATAAATATTTGATGCATGAATAATTATATTAAGGGCTAGAGATGGGGTTCAATGATAGAGTGCTTACCTGGGATACATGAGCCCCTGGGTTCCGATCCCCAGCACTGCAAAAAGTAAACAAATAATAATAATTATAGACAGTATTCATTGAAGGTGACTATGTACCACGAATTGTTCTAAGCACTTTACACATGCTTTTTCTTAGTGAGCTTTTTCTCTGCTGTGACCAAAAGACCTGATAAGAACAATGTAGAGAAGGAAAAGTTTATTTGGGGCTCATAGTTTCAGAGGACCCAACTCCATTGCCAACTCCCTTGCTCTGGGCCTAAGGCGAGGCAGAACATCATGGTGGAAAGCAGCTCAGAACATGTCAATCAGGAAGCAGAGAGAGAGCTTTCGCTTACCAGGGACAA